AGAACAATTTCATTAGTGGCACATTAATGTGCTTGGGAGCAGGAGGACGTGTCCCACTGTGAGGAAGCAGGGCCCGCTGGCTGCCCCAGCCCGCAGACAGGCCGAGTCCAGTGTGTCTAGCTGCTCTCAGACTGGGCACGGCTGGCTGGGCTGCACTCCCCCCGCCCCCCACCTTTGGCTCTGTGGTGGAGAAGGACCCCCCTCTGCTGAGCAGAAAGGCATCTGCTTGCTCAGCTGGGTCTGAGGACAGTCACACATTAGCTTTTCCCACTTGCCTTCCCTCCATTCTGTATTTTGCATGAGGCCACCAGGGTTTAAGAAGCCCAAAGCTTTTCTAGGTTTGCGGGGAGAGCTAAGGGGACGGAGCTCAGCCTGAGCAGGGCCGCTGCTGGCCAGTATGAGATGAAGGGAAGAGGAAGCAGTTTTATGTTACTTCTTTTAAAATGTAGGACCTGCTTCTCGTTTTATGGAGAAGGAAACTGGCTAGAGAGAAAGGAGGTCATATGACTTCCCAGAAATTCACGGCCAGAGCTAGGATATGAACCCAAGTCTGTCTGACTACAAGATCCATGCTCTTCCTGCCACCTCCCTGCCCAGTCGGTGGACCCAGCTCTGGGGAGGATTCGGAGTGTAGAATAAGCTTTGTTCCCCGTGGAGCTGACAGTCTAGTTGGAGAATAAGGACATTAGGAAGTGAAATAACTGTTGACAACAATGAAGCGTTTATGTATCCAGTGCTCTTGTAAGTGCTTTGTATTTTTCTATTAGGTCATTTAATCGTAACAAATCCTCTGAGATAGGGAATATTGCAGTTGCAACTTGACAGCAAACAGAGACACAGAGAGGGTAAGGGATTGGCAGAGGTCATGTAGTTGGTAGGTGGATCTGAACCGAGGCAGTCTAGCTCCACAGTGTGTGCTCTGAACTTCTGTGCTATACGCTGTCCCCTCAATGCCAAAGGCTGGGGGAGCCCATAGGTGTTCAGGGGGTGATTGACTTGGGGGTGGAGTAGGGAAGCCTTCACAGGAAGGTGGTGGTGAAGCTGAAAGAGCTCAGCTCACAGGGCCTAGTTGGGACATCAGAATCCCCACCTGCTCTGTCTGCCCCCAGGGCAAGAGATGCTGGCGGCTGGCCAGATGGGCAGGGGTGCACAGTGAGGCAGCAGGCGCCCTGAGGAGCGAGGTGGGGGGAGCGGGTCCGACCTTGAGGCAACTGGGCTGTCTGCTGCTTCATCCCCGGCCGGCGCTCCCCCAGCACAGCTCCACGGCCCCCTTCTCCTCCCCTCAGCGCTGTTTTCCTAGGTCTTAGCTTCAACGTGAGCATTGATGAGAAGAGCCTCCATCTCTTCCCTGCTGACACTGCTTGTGTCCACGTGTCCATACGTTCTGTGGTGTCCTCAAGGCCATATCAGCTCGCGTGTGCACACACCAAAGGCCCGCACACAAATCAGACATTCGGGCAGCCCCTGGTAGTCACCCGAGGCTTGAACTCCCGGGTGTCACATGCCACCGTAGGAGGCCTCCCAAGGGAAGCTGTTGAGTCCAGATCTCTCCCTGAAACACTCCGCGCTGCTGAGGAGACAAGTAGCAATACTGTAGAGCACTTCGCAGTTCACACAACACTTGGTGAGTAGTGGGCCTCATTAATGATTACAACAGGCAGAAAGAATCCAGAAGAGGTTTCTTGTGTATCTGACAAGAATGAGCCTCCCATAACTCCGGTCTTCAGTTTGAGGCAAACTTGTAGGAAATAGCTCTCCGTGGGTCTGTATATAGTCAATCCTCATTATATACGATTCCATATTTGCGAGTTCACTTACTAAAATGTATTTGTAGCCCCAAATCAGTACTCGGTAATTTTTGATCATTTGTGGATGTGCAGAGTGGTGAACAATTTGAGTCTCCAGGTGAGCACATTCCCAGCTGAGGTTGCAAAAGGCGGTGCTCTACCTTCTTGTTTCAGCTCTCATCCATAAACAAGTGTCCTTTTTGTCGTCTCCTTAGTGCCACGTTTTCCCCTTTTTTTGATGTGTGCTTTTTCTTGGTGATTTTGCAGTTTAAAATGGCCTCCAAGCAGAGTGCTGAAGTGCTGTCTAGTGCTCCTAAGTGCAGGAAGGCTGTGATGTGCCTTAGGGAGAAAATACACATGTTAAAGAAGCTTTATTCAGGCATGAGTTCTAGTGCTGTTGGCCATGAGTTCAATGGTAATGAATCATCAGTATATATTAAATAAGGTGTCTTTAAGCAAAAACATGCACAGAAGGTGGTTATGTATTGGTAAATTGGTAGAGTCTTGCAAGAACCTAATCCTATGTTTCCCCTGGGAGCAGTGGTTCAGGATTCGCTAATTCAGTGTTCATGGTGACTTTATAGAACATCACAAATAACAAGAATCAACTGTATCTGTATATCTCTATATGAGTATGTGTTTATATGTATTTTTTCAATTAAGAGAAAATATTGGTGCCTGGGTGGCTCAATCGGTTAAGCCTTTGACTTTGGCTCAGGTCATAATCTCAGGGTTCTGGGATCGAGTCAGGCTTCCCGCTCGGTGGGGAGTCTGCTCGAGGATTCTCTCGCCCTCACGCCCTCTCGCCCTGCCCCTACCCCTACCCCCATTCGCTCGCTCACACACACGCACACTCTCTCTCTCTCAAATAAATAAATCTTTTTAAAAAAAGAGGGAGAGAGAAAAATATAAAAAACCCAAGTCTTCAAGTTGATCAGAGAAATAGAGCATATACAGACATTGGCCCACAAAATGTTATAGTCAAGCCACAAAGTCCTGGCAATCAATCTAAAAGAACCATGATGAACAATGAACACACATACCAGCCTAGGAGCACCATGCTTAACCCTCTGCTCACTGTGAAACTCTCCCAGAACTAGAGAAGGGTTAAGACGGTCTTCAAATGGGTTCTGTGTGCCCAGGATAGACACAGCACAGGGCTTGGCTAGAGAGGCCACAAGCCAAGAGACTCTGGAGTAGCCCCATCCCTTCACTGAGCCCAGCCCACCTTCCCCTGAGTGCCTTCACCGTGTTTGCAGCAGCCATAATAAAAGGGGAAGTAGAGACCCCCAGGCTACAGCTTTATCTCCCTCTATAACCCGAGATGGATTCAGCGGGAGGGCAGTGCCCAAGGCTAGAGATTTCTTTCCTCTGCAGCTGGCTGGGCCCAGGGACTTGTCAAGCCCAAGTTAACATAGTGACTGCAGGCAGGGAGAGGCTGGGTAAGTGTGAAGGCAGTGCCCACCTGCCAAGAGAGTTGGCAGTGTTGACTCCAGGCATGGCTACCAGTCGCCGGAGTCTACCACTTGTACGAGCCCTTGGGAGGCCGGCATCTGGTTGGTAGCCTCCGAGGTGAGGTGTGGATTGGGGGTTTGCTAGGTGGGGTGAGGCCTGAGTGTGGGCACCTTCCGGGATGAGCGTGATTGTACCTGCCGGGTACTTCATCAATCCGCCTCTGAGGTGCTTGCCTCCATCCTAGCAATCCAGTGCCAAGAGCCATGATGCAGGTGGCCCTCAAGCTTCTTGTCACAACTGCATTGGCCCAGCACAGGCTTCTCGGAACTGGAAGGAGGTCTTGTGCCCAAGCAGGGCAGCCATCAGTTTTAGGGAAAGGGCACTTGGCTGCTAACACAGTAAAAGATAAGAGGTCCAGGAATGGGGGACCTATGTACCCACCAACAGAATCGACTTGGAATGGATCTATATAGTATCTTTTTTATCTAGCTCTAATAGATTCTTCATATCTGCTTATGGGTCACACCCCAACCTCAGGCATTGTTGAACTTGCATTTCCACTCGAAGGGTTAACTGTAAGCCTTAAGTAGGAAGAGGGTGTTAAAGAATAGGGAGAAGCAGGGGCCCTGCCTCCCTGGTCCTGCCCCTTCTTTTTCTCCCTGCTGCCTTCTCTCCACATGCCCAAGCCCCCTGTCTACTTAAGGGGTGTCCTGTCACCCACATGGCTCCCCGCTCACCTCCCTACCCTTGCCTCTCTAACCCTCTGCTCTAGGCTGCTGCCGCAGGCTCCAACCCAGCCTTCAGAGAATTCCCAGGTATTTAGACATTGATTTTATTGCTTAATCGAGCTTGAAGCTGTTTAAATTAATACAAGTTTTCATATTTAGCAGCAGAGATTTTTACAAGCCCCTTTAGCAGAGAAAGAGGTTCAAAGAAGAAATTTATCCTGGGCCATGAGGTGGGAGCTGATCAGCCACCATAAGGGCCGTGGCACCAAGGCCACCCTCTTGGAGGAGCGGAGTCCGTGCTGTGTCTGGGGTCCCGGGTCTCGGGGAGGCCCTCCGTGGAGGAAGCTCAGAACCTCGTGAGCCCCGCAGGGGTTCCTGACGGTTCTGAGGTTCAGCCACAGCACACGCCCCAAGGACCAGGCTTCCAGCAGTGATGGCACCCTGTCAGGGGCAGCCTTCTGCTGGGGTCACCCCCTAACTGCCCTCCTGTGCACTTCCTGCTCGCATCCTTCTGCCCACATGCCCCCTTCCCTCCTCTCTTCACCTGGCTTCCATCCAGCCACTTTCATTACCTTTGTTGAGCACTAATTCCTTCAGCTGTGCGCCCCTCGCTCCGGGGATTGCCTTGCTCCTGGGGCCTGCCTGTCTTCCTAGACGAGCTGGGGTGGGTGGGTGGGTGCTGAAGAAGAGTGGGATGTTCCCGGAGCTATGTCTGCTGCTTCTGTCACTCCTGACCCCCAGGCTGCACTCACACACGCACACGGCTAACGCAGACTTCCTCGCTTAAGCTGAGGGGAGCCGAGTTTACCCTAGTAGCTCTCTGCCAAAAGATCTGAGAAGAGGGGAGTTTTGAAGTTGCTTGGTCAGTGACGTTTCCGTAAGGATGGTTCTGGGGTGTGAGAAGCTAGAAAGCGTAGATCCCACTTACAGAACTGAAGTGAAGGGTTTTAAGAGGGTCAGCAGTGCTGGAGCCCCAGCAAGCTCCTGCTCTTCGTGCCTAATGAGCCCCTGTCAGGTGGCAGGCTGACACCCCCTTTTCTGTTCCCCAGGTAGAGGTGGAGGTGGAGAGCATGGACAAGGCCGGCAACTTCATCGGCTGGCTGCACATCGACAGCGCCAACCTGTCCGTCTTGCTGGTGGAGCACGCGCTCTCCAAGGTCCACTTCACTGCTGAGCGCAGCTCCTACTACAAATCCCTGCTGTCCGCTGAGGAGGCCGCCAAGCAGAAGAAAGAGAAGGTACCTGTGTGGAATTGGGCCTGGCTGGGGAGGAGGTGGGTGCCACCCCGGACCTCAGACTTCTTCTCGCCTTCCTGCCCCTCCCCCAAAACACCACACAGTGGACAGAGCGGTTTCGTCATCCCCCACCTGAGGGGCCCTGGTTGGTGTTGGTCTCAGACCCCACATCAGGAACCACACATGACCAAGGGAGAGGCTGCGAGCTTAGGCATCCTCAACCATAGGCCTGCTCTGGTGGACCTGGTAGAGCAGAACGGTGTCTGGAAGGTGACCTTGGAGCAATGAGAGCAATGACGGGAAGTAGGGGGGGCTCTGGTGAGCAAGAGACTGGGGAGTTGTCCCTTCACCAGCCCCAGCCCTTCTTCAGTGCCCTCAGAGCACCCGGGAGACCTGCAGCCCACTTCTGAATTTCCTTCACATGGCCCTGCAGGGAGACCCATTTTGGAAGCTGCCCCAGGAGATGCATAAAGCTGTTAGGACAACAGATTTATAGCCCATCAGTCTCTGCAGGCACTGCATTGAAAAGACAAGGGGGGTGGGTTGGAAAGCAGCTCTTGGAAACAAATGGACAATTAAGGAACCCAGTGGTTTGGTGGTGGGAGCTGGGCTTGGCACCCCCTGCCTCAGCCTGTCGCCACTGACTTACAGCCCGGCCCTGATAATGGGGATAAATCAGCCGGCCACCAATTTGTCAGGGCTTCTCTGAGCTTGAGGAGGATTTCATGGGACAGCCGTGCTGAGCCATAAATTTGTTCCAGGAATAAACGTTTCCTTCCCCATGGGGCAGCCATCTGGCTTGCAACTCGCCTCCCAGAGCCAAGGCCCAGACACCTGCCAAAAGGAGTAGGGGGCTTCAGGGCCCCAAGGCTCCTCATTCTCTCCCAACCCAGAGCAGCCACCTCCTCACTCAGCCTCTTCCCGGCTGTCTTCCCTCAGGGACCAGGCCCAGGGACACCTGCCTGCCTCTCTCTACCTTTACTTCCCATCCCCTGGGGATGAGGGCAGGTGACCAACCCTAATGGGGGCGGAAGAACTCTAGGGAGAGGTCACCCAAAAAGCTTGGGACAGGGTGAAAGGGAATGTTCATGCCTTGGAGGACTAGGCCACCATGAGGCGTCTAAGGAGGCTTCCACCCTTATTCCAATTCTGCTCACATTAAGTCCCGTCTTCCTAGAGTGGCAGGGAGGGGGCAACCTTAGCTCCTACCACAAAGGAGCTTCCTCTTGGGTTTCCTCTTGGTGACAGCTGAACTTAAGGCTGCCACCCCCATGTCCTCTGCTTGCTGCAGAGGAAGGAGCAGACGTGGTGCTGGGCCCTTGTGTGCAAAGGGCTGAACTTTCACCGAAGAATTAGCTGGGGGTCAGTGTGGAAAACACTGGCCCCTGAGGCTCAGATTCTGAAAGGGTCTTTTCCCCCAGGGTCTGCTCTCTGGGATTCGAGACCCTAGAGGGACCCAGGAGAAGACAGGGAGGGGAATGTGGCCTGAGGTGGAAGGATGGGTGCCTTGCTGGGTGTTACACTGGGCATCCCTGTTTACTACACAGTGCATTTGTCTAAAAGAGCCCAAGTCATCATTTCACTGGTACCACATGATGATGGTGAGGAGTAATCATCAGTAATTAATTACTTAACACAGGCTGCGTGTTTTTATTCCAGTACAATTAAAATGCAGTGCGCTACTCTCAGCACGAGGCCCTGCCCGCCTCCTGGGTCCCTCTCCTGCACATCCCATCCTCTTCAAGGGTCCTGGCAGAACCTAGCGTGGCTTGCCGCTCCTGGTGGGGCTGGTTCCCAGGAGCAGCATGTGCGGAGCATTGCAGCACCCCTCAGAGTTGGTTGGACTCCCGAGAATTTGATAGCCAGCTGGAGGACAACAAACCGCATATCTGAGGTGTCCCCAGGATTTCCAACCTTGCCTCGCTTGTGACCCCAGGAGGGCTGCCTTCGCTGTCCAGAGACAGGCACGTGTGGGGTTAAGAGGTCACGGTGGTACGTGTGAGCTAACTTAGGAAAGGTAATACTGAGGGATTTTGTGAGACTAGGAGCATGCCGAAGTCTTTGGGGAATGTGATTCTGTGTGTGTGCATTTGTGAGCGGGTCCCTCTGAGGGTAGCTGGCAATGCTGGCTTCCCAGCTTTGAGAACTGAGCTGCCTCCCTGCTAGGCCTCATTCTGCCCTGCAGACTCATTCTGCCCTGCAGACTCCTCTCCTCCCGAAGATGCTGATTGGGCCCTCCCCTTCCTCTACAGGAGGCTAATGCCGGGTTATCCCCGCCTCCTCCAGGAATATTGGGTGGCTCTGAGGACCAAAGATGGGAGCCACAGGTGGCAGGCACCAGGACTGCCCTCCCTCCCCTACTGTACCCCTTCTACCACCCAGTGAGCTGTGGGACCTTGTCACAGGACTGGCCCCACTACTCCCCTCCTGGTGGGAGCTAGAGGCCTGCGGGCCATCCCCGAGGCTTTTGTTTGCAGCATCCTTGACCTCGAGCTTGCTGGCCACCTGAGCCAGCCAGAAGAGGAGCTCCACCCTTCTCCCCCAGGAGGAAACCTGATGCTGTCGCCCAAGGCGCTTTCGCTTGAGGAGTCATTAGCAGTTTCTGCTCTCACCCTGTCAGTCTGTTCCCAGTTAATCAACACTGCTGAGGAGCCTCCTTCCCCACAGTGCAGGGAGGCAGGGCGGGGTTAGGATGGAGCCCAGAACTGCTCCCAGCCTCAGGCCCCCTCTGGAGCAAGCGCGGGGCCTTGTTTCTCTGATGTGCTGCCTGGGTGCCAGGAAGGTAGGGAGCAAGAAGAGCGAGGTGGGCGGGTGAAGGGCCCACTGACCAGGGGTGGGGTGGGGGGATATGCAGACAGATTGGAGGGGAGGTGCTGCTGGAGCAGGGAGCAGAGGACAGACTGGGGGCGGGGCGGGGGGGAGCACTTGGCTTCAGCTCATTTAAGGCAGTGCCGACAGTCTTGTGTCTCAGCAGCCGTGAGAGTCCCATCTACACGGATCCCAGGGTGGCTAGGAGCGACCAACTGAGTAGTCACTGCCCTGGGGAGCTTCCAACTAGCGGGGCCCAGGGAGAAAGCTTACCTCAACAGGAGGTAGGCCTTAGAACCAGAAGTCACTGTGGCCGTCCCCCAAAGTGCCCTCAGCAGTCTATGCCATGGCCTCTGGTTGAAGAGGCCCTTTCACAAGTCCGAAAGCTAGAGACCCCCTTCGGCAGGAGTCTCTGAGCTGACTGCCTCCTTTCCTGTGGCCACCAGGCCTGGGCATGTGGAAAGCAGAGGTGTCTGGATGCTAGTGAGGAGGGAAGTAGCTGTGGTGGGACCTGTGTGCAGAGTAGGTGAGAGAGATCAGGAGCTGTTTGGGTTAGAGTCCAGCCCCAAAAGGCAGAAGGTGAGGCTGGCAGAGGTTTGCACCCAGGCGATGTCTCTCCCATCCCCCTCAGCCACTCTCTGGAGGCCTCGCCCAGGCTCAGCCCCTGTTGCTCATCCCAGTTCTCAGGGCCCTGGCCTCCCCTTCTAGTGGAAGAATACACCACATTAAAGGCAGGAGCATGGCCTCTGCAGGTGTGACCCAAGGAGGTGTGGTAATTCTGACATTCCTGCCCTTCGGCTGCTTCCATGTGCTGTCCAGGGATCTGTGGGTCAGCTGAGTGATCATGGGGTCAGACTAGTTCGTCTTGCAAGGGAAGAAAAGGAGATGCAGGAGGCATATGGCTTGACCGAAGTCAGACATCAAATTAAAGGACAGGAGCCCACATCTCCCACCCACAACTTTTCCCACTGCTCAGTGCTGCCCTCTGTCTCTAGAGGCCCAGTCAATGTCAAAATGCCCTCTCGAAGATCTCTAGCACCCAGAGACCTGGGTTCAGATCCTGGTTCCACTGCTTCTCGCAAGCCTGGGTGCCTCAGGTTCCTCGTCTGTAAAACAGGGTAATGTTAATACCTAGTCAAAGGGTTGTCGTGAGGATTCAGTGAGTTACTACTTAGAGAATGTTTAGAACGGCACCTGGCACCTAGGAAGCATGTAAGTTTTGGCTAGTACTTTTATCACCCCCCTGTCCTTGTGTGTCTGTGGGACTCCGTGTGTGGTCCCGTCCCTCACCCCCTTCTCGGGGCTCAGCTGGACAGGCTGCTCTGACAGGCTTCACTACTGGGATAATCTCCTGGCCGCAGTATTGGACTTGACATGCTGTCACATCGAATCAGCTTCTGAGCTGCTGTGGGCCTGACAGTGCAGGGCCAGGGGAGGAAGGGAAAGGCGAGGGTGGGCTTCTGAGCTAGGGTCAGAGCAACCTGATTGAGGTGAAGACAGAGAAGTTGCTGAGACAAGGCATTCTTGAACAGTGACGAGCCCGCCCCTCCACGGCCCAGGGCTGTCACTTTTGGAGAGCCTCAGGAGCACCATGGCCCTGGACAGTGCGAGGGCCTGGAGAGTTCAGAGTGACCCCTGCAGAGTGGTGTCGGGGGAGGGAGGTGGGGACCCAGAACCGCAGCAACACCAAGGTTCTCACACTCTGGGGTGCATGAGGATTGCCTGGGAGCCTGCTGTGGCTTGTTTTACTTCCCCTGAGTGCAGTTATAACAGATCCTAACTTGGTGGACCTGTACTGGGACCCAGGTTCCAGCATTTTTAATAAGCTCCGCCATTGCTTCTGATCCCTGCCCAAATTTGAGAACTGATTGATCAGAAGAACTTCATAGCAGTCTCCTTACCCACTCAGAAGTAGGAGAGTTCTAGGGGCTCAGCTCAGTGTGATGTGAGTGTCCTTTGGTGACCCCCACACTCACCCCAGGGGTGACCCCACTTGCCCAAAGCCCCCATCCCGTGTTCTGGCTGGCTTCACTTCCTAATCCCCGCCCCCTTTGCTGACCACACGTGCAGGTCTGGGCCCACTATGAGGAGCAGCCCGTGGAAGAGGTGGTGCCCGTGCTGGAGGAGAAGGAGCGCTCGGCCAGCTACAAGCCGGTGTTCGTGACCGAGATCACTGATGACCTGCACTTCTATGTGCAGGATGTGGAGACCGGTGAGTACGCTGGCCCACCCTGCCTCCAGAATCCCCTCGGTTCAGTGGGAGGGCGGGGCACAGCCCCCAGCTCCCAGGGGCCTCTCCCCGATAGCCTATGGCTGCTACCCCAGCCCTGGCCCTCAGTCATTTCATGAACTGCAGATGGGCCCTGGAGTAGGCGAGGCTTAGCTGGGCCTCTGAGGGCTAATGAAGTAACCCGTCTTGTCTGGGTGGTACTCTGAGATTCTTGGAGAATTGTTTTGCTCTCAGACAGCCCAGGCTGGGTTAGGCATGGGGATTTGTAGCCCTCAGAGTCTATCAGGAAGCAAGGAAAAGATTGTCTCTATGTGGTCAGGAAGTACAAACCAGCATTACTTAACCCTCCTCCCCCTCAGCTTCCTTGGGAAGGCAGCAGGAGGAGAGGAGCCTGGGCTTTTTTCTCTGGGGTTTCTCTTCTCTCGAGGTTACCATAGCCCTGAGTGGTAGCCGGTTGCCATGGAAACAGGCGGCACTCTAGGGGAAGTCATCCTCGGGCAGTCTTTCTGAAGGACCCTCTGTCTCCATCCTCCTCCTTCCTCCTGCCCTCAAGGGCGGTGCACTGTGGCCTGGGTCACCTCAGCAGAAGCCTCAGGCTTCTGGAGGACAGAGGGTGGTAGAGGCCACTCTGGTGGGGGTGGCCCTGTGGCTCAACTTCCCACCTCCACTCCCTTTGCGCTCTCTACCCTTCCCTCCCTCCTCTCCTTGACACCCTGTGCAGGGAACCATTTTAGTTGAGGGCAGAGGAAAAAGCTCTTCAAGCCGCCTCTGGGTCCAAGGAGCCAGATCCTTGCAAGGCAGAGAGGCCTGAAGATGTCACTGGCACTCGAGGCAGCCCCATGGGTGGCAGGCTGTGACTAGTCCAGCCCCTGATGCCCCCCCCCATCAAGGCCTCTCCAGATCATCAGCCTCATCTCAACCACTTCCCTCTAATGACGTTTTCCAGGCAGTTGGTCTGTGGCCATGTCAGTTCACCAAGAAAAACCAACCTTCCCGAGCTCTGGGCTGGCTCTACTTGGGAAGGGAAAGAGCCAGGGAGGGGTAGAGATGGGCTGATGAGACTTCAAGATTAAGTTCCCTTGAGGTCAGCTGCAATCCTGCTAAAAAGTGGCCCAGCACCGCCAGGTCTGGGTGGTGTGATGAAGAAAGGAGTCTTTCAGTGGTGGTCCAGGCAGGAAGGAGAGCTGTTTCTGAGCACAGGAGTCAGAAAGAAGGGGCCTCAGGAAGCTCAGGGAAAAGGAAACTCAAAGAAGACCTTGCCCAAGGTACGGCAGCTCTCTGGCAGGCTCTACCTGGCCTCTGGATCCTGCGGGGTAGGACCCACCTTGGATAAGAATAGGTCCCTAAAGTCTCCAGGGGACAGAGCTTGAGGGTTCGAGGCCTTCAGCAAGTAATCTCAGAGGCTTTCTGTGCATGCCCTGTGCCCCGCCTGGCCATCTCTGGCGGCCATAGGGAGCCAGGACACTGCAGCGAGTGGTGGCCAAGGCAGGAAATCAGGAAAAAAGGAACCAAAGGGGAAACCATGTGTTCTTGGAACATTGGAGAAGGGAGTAAGGCCCTTGTTGGCACACTACCTGGAGGGCTGCAGTGGGATCCAGAGAAAACCTGACCTCGGTTGGTTCCATAAAATCCATGAAAATAAACTTAAGCATCTGCAGCCTCCCTCTTCTGAAACCTTTCATCCTCTCTTGGGGGACATCCTCTTGCTCTGTGTCTCTTCTCTTAATTAAAGCCTGCCTTCAGGAAGGATCTAATGAAATGATGAAAGCATTGCCATTAGCTGTAAATGACCAGCCAGGCTCTGTGCAAGGACCTGTTTGCAGGAGGCAAAGTCTGCTTCTGTTGCCTTGGAGCAAAAAAAATAAAAAATAAAAATAGACCAAGTATAGAAAGAATTTGTGTAGAGGGTTTACTGTTGGGTGGGGGAAGGGCAGCTGCTTCCTAAAAGTCCCTGTTCTGAGACCAGTGCTCATGAATGCTGGGACAGTGGCCCATGCAGAGGCCCAGGAGTGGACACATCTTTGTGCACATATGTAGAGTGCATCTTCAATATAGTTGAATTCTTTTTTCTTTTTTTTTTTTAAGATTTTATCTACTTGACAGAGAGCAAGAGCATAGGCGGGGCGGGCTGCAGGAATCTACTTCTCCCTTCTGAGCAGGGAGCCCGATGTGGGGCTCAGTCCCAGGACCCCAGGATCATGACCCGAGCCGAAGGCAGATGCTTAACCGATTGAGCCACCCAGGTGCCCCGAATACAGTTGAATTCTTAAATACCCTGCATGCACCAGGGATTTTCTAGGCCTTGCAAGAGCAAACAGAACCAAGTGAGCAATGGTCTGTGCCCTGAAGGAGCTCACAGCATAGTGGCAGAAACATAAGCCAGACAAGGAACATACAGGGCCAACTGTGACAAGTGTACCAATAGCCAACATGTGTTAGGCACCTGTTACAGGATGGCTTTGGGCCCCGGAGGTGGAAAGAAGAACCCCATACCCACATCCCACGAACCCAGCTACCCTCACCTCCGAGAGCAAAGGGGGCACAACAGGCCTAATGGAGAGCTAGAATCAGGGCCAAGTTGGATGGAAAAGTGAAGTTACTGGGGACTGATGCTTAGTAGAGTGGGGGCAGGTTATACAACAGAAAGGAGCAAGGAAGGGAACCGGAGAGGACCCTGGGTGTTGCCAAACCTGGTATTACCAGCTGACAAGCAGCAGGGACTCGGGATTCAGGAAGGACAGGCTGAGAAGGAGACTCTCTCCCTGCCCAACCAAAGAGGGCACTGAGTTGGGGCTGGAGGTTGGAACCCCAACCTGGCAGTACCAAAGTTTGCTTTTGCACGTACTTCACATGGTAAGCAAGGTCAGAGTAGTCAAGTTTGAATACACTGAGATTGGGCCTTGCTCCCTGAGTTGCTCCACACCTTCCATGGCTCAGAGTCTGAGGCCCTTTCCTTGCCCAGGGTTGTATGGGGCCTGCCGTTCATCTCTGTGTTTGCCCCTGGGAGACACTGGCAAAGAGTGGCTGCTGTCAGTCATCACTTCTGTGGCCCAGGCCAGGCCGGTCCTTGTAGGAACAGGTGTAAGCTGGCCCGCTTCACCCTGGACGAGGCTGGTTGGCCCTGCTCCACATCCCCGCGCTTCACCCACCTCCTTAAGTGGAGCCCAGGAACATTCCCAGCAGCTTCCACAGCCCTGGTCAGTGGACTGGAGAGCTGAGGTTGGAAGGAAGACTCTGTGCCTCTGAGGCCTGAAGTGTCAGCAGGTCCCCGTCCCACTTTTGAAGACAGTCTGAGCCTCTTGAGCTGAGACCACAGGGGACTTCCCTGCGGAACGGGGCAGGCCAGTGCCGGAAGCGCCCTACACAACACCACATCTTGCCTGCTCCCCAACCCAGGGCTCACTCCCTCTTCCCCCGCTGCAGGCACCCAGCTGGAGAAGCTGATGGAGAACATGCGAAATGACATCGCCAGCCACCCTCCTGTCGAAGGTTCCTATGCGCCCCGCCGTGGAGAATTCTGCATTGCCAAGTTTGTCGATGGAGAATGGTAAGCCACTTGGACCCGAGCGGAGCAAAGAGTCTTAAGCAGGAGCGGTAGCCAGTCTGTCCTCGGGACCACAGGCCTGCCGAGCTACCTAGTAGACATCAGGCATTTGCCTTAGCAACCTGGTTTCCACTGGGCGGTGGTGGTTGACCTTGGCCGGCTCTCCGGTGTGGCCCTCTTCATTGCCCAAGCTCATCTGGGGCCTGTGATTTGCCGGCAGCCCAGTCAGCCTTGAGTGTATAAGCGGTGTCTCTCCTCATTCTGGGAAGCTCTACTGGGGGAACCGTGCCTGGCTGAGACTCTCCAACAGCCCTCACCTCACACAGGAAAAATGGTGTCACATAGGGCGGGGAGGGCAGAGGCTGGTTCTCAGTGAGCCCAGACCAGCCGCCCAACCCTCCACCCTAGCTGTCTAGGACATGAGCAGGAGCACTCACAGGCTGCAAGAAGGTCACTATGTCTGATCTACCAAGAGTAGGGCCCATGGCCTTCCCTGGGTGACGGAGTGACTTGGATGTGTTCCCTACCGCGGCCTCCCAGACAGATCTGCCGGCTAATTACAGCTGCTGTCTAGTGTGCTGGCTTTAAACAGCAGACATCAATCTGGTCATTAGTCTTGTTGCTTTATGCCCCAAGGACACATTAATCTGCTCCACACGCTCCCTTCTCCCTCCCTCTGCTCCCAGCTGTGCTCTGATTCCATTAGATGAGGGCCACCGTGCCCCAAGCCTGGGCCTTCATGGAGTCTGAGAACTGCCCTCTGTGACACCCGTGGGTGTCCACCCTGACCCCTGGGCAGGGAAGTGTCGTGCCCCTGCCCTGCTGTCGCTCAGGCTCCAGGGAGGCTGGACTCGTCAGGGCTGTGCCTTGAGCTCTGCCTGCGCTGCCGTTGCAGGTACCGTGCCCGAGTGGAAAAAGTCGAGTCTCCTGCCAAAGTGCACGTCTTCTACATTGACTATGGCAATGTGAGTGTGGGGGACCTGGAGGTGGAGGAGTAGGCAAAGGAGGGGCCCGCAGCACAGCAGTCCCCTAGGTCAAGTCGCTGTGAGCTCTGAACCCCTGACTGACAGAATGGTGAGCATGTAGGCATCTTTCCTGTTGGTGGAACAGGCCACTGGACTCTGAAGTCTCCTTTCCAGGCCCCAAGAATGAGTGCCGAGCCACACCCGTGGCTTCTCATCTTCTGCCCAGCTTCTTTGAAGAGAGGGCCCGTGGAGGCCGTCAACACCCCACGGCTCCTGGTCTTGCTTGACCAGGTGCTTGTGTGCTGATCCTCAGCGCATCCCCAAACCAAGGCTTGCTGGGAAGTCACAAGGGGGCAGAGTGACTAGCACCCTTGAGAAAAGCCCCCTCGGACTGGGCCTGGGAGTCTGTTAACAATTCTGGGAGATTCCCTGTGGGCACAGCAGCAAGCGGGAGAGAAAGTTGTAGTTCAGAACCATGCTACTCCTGAGGTGTGACGATGCTTGTCCGCTCTCCCCAAGGACTAGTGTTAAGGGTCGCACAGAAGCCCAGAGTTGGGCCATGCTCCCAACTTGCCACCAGGGGATACACAAAAGAGGTCCTGCCCATGTTGCGGGACTGTCGGAACCCTTGTCTCCGTGTGCTTTCCCTGCAGAGCTCCCCCTAGCCTCTGGGAAAGTATTCAAGGAACCCATGTCACAGAGGGAAGGCACTGGAGAAAAATGGAAATCGTGGTTAGAGACCAGTGACCAAGTTGATCATTTTAGTAGAGCCACCAGCTGTGCCAAGCCCGGGCCCAGGTTGAGAAGGTGTGAGCCACAGCTGCCTGCCTGCTGCAGGGGCCAACCTGGCACGTTCCCCCAAGGCGTCACTGACTGGGGCTAAGTGGGAGCAAGTCGTGGTGGGGGCCTGAGTTAGAATTCCAGAGGCCCGGCCATAGGAGTCATCCTGTGAGAGCAAGGGGGCGTCGAGTGTGTAATGCTCTTGGCCTGACATGTCCTCTGCAGAGGGAGATCCTGCCTTCCACCCGCTTGGGGACCCTGCCACCTGCCTTCAGCACTCGTGTGCTGCCTGCTCAAGCCACAGAGTATGCCTTTGCCTTCATCCAGGTGCCCCAAGACGTGAGTCTTCGCATCTCCCCGCGTCCCTCCCTCCCTTCCCTCCTTCCAAAGGGGGCTGTCCGATGACACTCAGCCACTGGTGCAGCCCTAACAGGCTGCCAGGAGATGGAAACACTGACCAATGTCTGTTAGCAACAGGACCTAAGAGATGGGAGTAACCAGGGAAGTTGAGGGAAGGTACACAGAGGAGATGGCATTGGAGCGTCTGAGCTGATTCTTTAGATGGATGGGCCCAGTGGGCCAGGGCACTTGGGGCAGAGACTGGTCCACACAGTTGGGAGTACAGGAACTTGTGGGCAGTAATAGGAGAGGAGAATGGAAAGATAAGTCATGGCCTGGGGGGTGGGGGCAGGGTTTTCAGCAAAGGTGTGACATGGTCAAATCTGGTTCTGCAAGTTCCTTCAGGGGCCATTGTCGGAGACTGGGCGGAGTCATGGGAGATCATGGCAGTTGGAAGTCCAGGCTAGAGACAGTGACAGCCAAGCCCGGGCCACACCCTAGGGGGCCAGGTCTCAGCGCCATCTGGGGGTGGGGGCAGGAAATGCGGAACAGAAGGTGACAGGATTTCTTACATGTGGCTATGATGCTGTTGGCCAAGATGCAAGAATGAGAAGGAGCAGATCAGGGGCTATGGGAGCTCCAGGCGCAGCTTGATGGTGTTCGGTTTGGAAAGCGAGAAGACTTAGAATCACAGACTGGTAGCTAAAACCATGGGTGCGTACAGGGCAAGTGTGCGGAAGACAGGATGCAGAAGAGAGCAAGCCTTGGCAACTGCTGGCCTTCCCCGATCCAAAGAAGAACCTGAGCCAGAATGTGCATCCAGAGAGGAGAACATGGGCTCAGGGTTGCAGAGCCACCCAGTTTCCCGAAGCAGAGAGCCAGGTCTGCAGTGTCCAGCTCCCCAGGGAGGTCAGGCTTAAGGCTTGGCAGGTACCCTTGGCTTGGGCACCAGCAAGGCCCATGGTGCTCAGGGCAGCAGTCTAAACAGCGTGCATGGAGCTGCTGCTGGATGCAGGGTGCTAAGGAGCAAATGGTAGGGTAGGAATCTGCGCCCTAGAACTTCTCTGCCTTCTCATGAAATTTGCCAAAGAGGGTGACAAAATAGGTCAAGGGGAAGTCTCTAAGGGTAGGGCTATGTAAGCATGGAGAGAGCCTGAGGGGACAGTACATGCACAAAAGCTGGGACTGTAAGGGGTCACAGTGCTGGGACACAGTGCTGCAGGGGTGGGGGTGAGGGGGGCCAGGCAGCAAGTGGACGGTTAGTTTTGGATGGACAAAAGCCACTTTTTCTCAGAAACACAAGGCGGGTGGGCGACAAGGTTGGGATGTATGCAGATAGGCTTGGCGGGGAGGGACAGGACAGGGAGAGGGGGCACTTCCTGTCCAGAGGCTGTTTCCTTCCTCGTTAGGATGTGAGCAGGAAATGAGATGCTGGCACCTGCTGGACACTTGCTTGGAAGCCCATGAACAGGACCTGGGGCCCAGGTGGCTGTCTTTAAAGCTCGCACTTCCCTCTCCCGCTAACCTGCACATGTCTCTGCTCCAGGAGGATGCTCGGACAGACGCCGTGGACAGCGTGGTGCGGGATATCCAGAACACTCAGTGCCTGCTCAACGTGGAGCACCTGAGCGCTGGCTGTCCCCACGTCACCCTGCAGTTTGCCGACTCCAAGGGGGATGTGGGACTGGGCTTGGTGAAGGAGGGACTGGTCATGGTGGAAGTGCGCAAGGAGAAACAGTTCCAGAAAGTGGTACGTGATGTGGGGGCAGGCTGCTAGCGTCTCCCCCCCACCCCACCCCCCGCCACCGCAGAGGGGGCCGGGGCTGCACCAAGAGCCGGTGATGGAGCAGGGAACCCTCCGTCCTGCTGTTCCTGCTGGAAAAAGATAACGGATTTGGGTTTGTTGGGGTTTAAGAAAAAAAAAAAGCTAATTACATCCCAAATTAGTTGGCTGCAGGCTTGGCTGAGAATGCAGCTATAAGCTAGAGTGGGAGGTGTCCCTTTGCGGTGCCCCCAGGTGGCAGGCTGGAGAGGGCCACAGCCTGTCGCTGCGTCTTCCCCCCCTTTATCACTTCCTTCTCTCTAACGTGCAATTCCCAAGTCTGGAGCCAGCTGCTGGCAGGCAGTGCCCCCCGGAGCCAGACTCGGCTGGGACGGGGCCTAAGGACTGCCCCTCCAGCCTGTCTGAAAAGCCCCCGGCATGTGGAGCTGGGCAGGGCCTGAGTCTCCCCATCGTGAGACGAGGAGGGTGCCGCGGGCTTCGCTGCTTCACGGGCCGGACCGTGAGGGGCCTGCAGCCAATACGTGGGGACCACCTGCACTGTCTTCCTTACTGAGCGTTGGGAGCTGGGACGGGCACCTCGCCCTCAGGACGGGCTGGTGGGAAGCCTGTGTCCGTGCAGCACCCCGCTTCTCCCCATGCTCCCTCTGAGAGGAGAGGTGAGAGCGGCAGTGCTGAAAGCTCCGTTCTCTCTCCATTGTGCCCGTCGCTTCGCCTTGTCCCAGACCCCTCTCTCTTGCGGTCTCTGGGTCTGTGGCACTGGTTGTGCAGGGTGGTGATTCATTTGGAACAAGACCCCAGTGTGAATTGCTACTCTGTCTCCTCTGGACAGGAGAGGCGTGACACCCCTAGTCCTCTCACTAGAGACCCCCAGTGTCTTGAGATTGCGCTGGGAGCTATCGTAAGTTTCCCTGTAGATGCATGAGATCTCACTGTCTCTCCTTGAAGCTACCTGTAATGTCTCCGGTGTCTAGAATATTCCTTTGCCCAGTATCTGAGATAAACACCCTACAAGTGTTCATTCATTCTTTGATTCGTTCTTTCAGCAAGCATTTATTGAGGGCCTACATATTTCCGTGAACAAGAAACAACATTTCTGCCCTATGGAGCTTACAGTCAAGCATGAGTTGACAAAAACATATGTACTAAATCAGTGAAATTGACTGATAGATAAATGCAACAGAAAAAGAGAAAATAGAAATCAGGGGAATCAAGAGTGTGGGGGAGGGGTGATTGGCATTTTAAATGGGGTCATTTGAGGCTTCATTGAGTTGGTGATGCTTTATCGAAGACCTGAAGGAGCAGGACAGGTGGCCAGGTGGACCTGAGGGGAAGAGCGTTTCAGGCAGATGGAACGACCAGCACAGAGAGTCAAGGAACAGCAAGGAGGCCAGTGAGACAATGCACTTGGGATTTCACTCTGCGGGAGCTGGTCATCCGCTGAGCAAGGGCGTGATGCAGACCAGACCCGGGCAGTCTCCGGGGTCATTCCGGCTGCTCAGTTGCAAATAACCCCTTTGTGACCTCCCATTCTTCCCTTGTCCCTCCAGATCACAGAGTACCTGAATGCCCAGGAGTCAGCCAAGAGTGCCAGGGTGAGTTTGTACCTCAAGGATTCCAGGGGACGCTTAAAAAGAGGGCTTATTAGTCCCGGGGTCCCAGCAGGTCCCACCTCCCTCACGGTCATTTTCTGCCTTCTCACAGCTGAACCTGTGGCGCTACGGAGACTTCCGGGCTGATGACGCTGATGAGTTTGGCTACAGCCGCTAAGGAGGGAAGCGGGTCTGGCCCCCAGCCCCGCTCACACCAGTACCTCCTCCTCTGCAGGGAGAGTGTTTTCAGCTCCAGACCCCAGATCAGGGGTGTAGATTGGGTCCAGCTTTGCTTCAGTGTATGGAAATGTCTTGTGGGGCGGCATCTGGACACAGGTGGGGTGGGGGAGCCCGAGGCTTTCAGGAGCAGGTCGCTGTCTTCTGAGATGACAGGTACTGCCGTCCACAGTCTCTTCCCGCTGATAGTGTGTTTTTATTTGGGGGTTTGGTTTTTCTTTAAAGTTGTCCTCAAATCAGGAAGAAACATGAAAGACTTTGTCCTAACGTAGGGCATGATCCTGACACCCAAGGCCAGCTGCCAGTTGGCACCCCACTTCTATCCCAGATTGCCCTTCTTCCCAGCTCTCTGTCCAGCTGTTGATTATGTGATTCCTCTGATGCGTCCTTTCTCAGATGCCAGCGTGTCTACACCTGCCCCTGCCAGCCCTCCCCGTTTCTGTATTTAAAGCTTTCGAGGCCCAATAAAATAGTATCTGCTGTCTGCAGCCCTTATTGGTCATGGTGGAGTCCAGAGTGTGGGATCTCGACAGCCCCAGCAGGAGGAGACTTGGGCACTTGGATGACCCTCAACACAGTCATCTGCATACCTGGCCTCAGCCCTAGAAACCTAGCCAGTCGGGAAAGCAGGGCAGTTCTTCAGAGTCGCAGGCAACTCCTGGGCCCTGGGAGGCATGATGGCACCGTGGCCATCAGGCAGAAGGCTGGAGATCTTCTGACTCATCAGTCCAGACCCCGCACTGCTCATGGCCGCCCTCCAGGACCTTGGAGATTTCGAGCAGCTCGGCAAGCAGTTGCCCAGGACTGGCCACACATGGAAGGCTGGGCTCGGTCTCACCAGGCCCCTGCGGAGAGTCGCCGGTACTGTCCTTTGCCAAGTTCTGCCGGAGCCCCAGCAGGGGGCCAGAGGGAACTTTCCCTCTCCTGCTGTGGCTGGAGTAAAGATTAACACCAGATAAAACTGACACAACATGGGTTAAGGATGGGGGCCTCAGTGCCTGCCCCGCTCCCTCCACAGTGTGTGTTCATTGGGAAATGGAGCTGGAGGACAAGGGTGGGTTCAAGAGGGGTCACGGCTGCTCGCCAAGGAGACCCTGTCTCTCCGGGTTAGCTCCTGCTCTGACTTAATGAGGTATCCCCCAGGTCCTCGAGGTAGAGCTGGCCACAGACCTCAGAAACCCCAGGCCACTCCTGGAGGAGGGGAAGGCTCAAAAGCAGCCATTGTGGTGGAAGTGAGGAAGCTGTTGTGCTACTGGGGGAATGCCAGGGAGAGAGAGTAGGTGTGTGATGGCGAGGTCACCACGGTGTCAGGGGATCTACCTGTTCTCCTCAGCCCCGCAGCCTTATCTGTGCAGCCCTGCCCTTCCTAGGCACATACGCCTGTGAAACATGGCACACCTTCCTGCGGCCCCACATTCAACCCCCCATTTCCAATCTGGGGTGGTGCTCCAAGCCGCCATATAAGATCAGTCCTTTGACCTTGGGGAAAGGCAGGAAGTGGTGGGGCCTGGCTGGCCAGCTCTCATCCCTAAACCAAGGTCCTAGGCCCCAGAAAATTCTGGTTCCTGGCAATTCTCCTACACCCACTTGTTGAGGCCCAGAGTTCACATGGGATTCTACCGAGAACCTGTCTTTAGGAAAAAGGATATGTGCTTCCTGAAGTCGGGGTGCACTCTAGCTAAGGGGAGAGCTGAGTGGGGCAGTGGTGTCTGTACAGCTCCAAAAATCTGTGTGCTCCCTTCCTCTCAAGGACTCCCGTTTCTACCTGCCCGGGAATCCCTCTGGGTTAGCCAGACCGAGAGCTTACGGTCCTCGAATCAGACCCTTTATGGTCCAGAAAACTATGTTTGCCATGACTTCGTACAGCCCCTGATGGGGCCCAAGAAGTCCGCAGGAGTGTGAAGGTCCCCGTCTGTCTCACTCCTGGAGAAGCTGTCCTGCCCCCAGCAGGCAGGCCCACTCCCGGTGGTCTCATGTTTTCTTGTCATGCATGGTGGAGGCTAGTCATGGAGAAGAGAATGGTCGCCTCACCCGTTTCTCTACCTCCTGGTGGGGTTAAGAGGCAGGTCGGCATGTACTCCCCGTGAGCACAACAGGCAGAGGGGCAAGATGCCAGCCCGCTGTCTCACAAAAGGGTCTGAAATCGGCTCGCAGTCTCCACAGTTACCTTGGTTACATCTGCGCCCAAGGATAAGCCCTCCGTGGCTCTGCAATTGAAATGATGCCCGAACCTTCCTACTTCTTTTCTTTCTCTTCCCGTGCTGGTTTCAACCCAGACCAGACCATTCCCGGGGCTGGAGGCTGCTGCCGCCACTTCCCCTTAGTTCCTCCCCGTCACGTCTGTTGAGGTCCTGGGGTCTGTCGTGGGCAGGGCTGGGACTGGGGTGACACGAGCCAGGCACGTAGGATGCAGACTTTCAGGGAGCACTCAGCGTGTGGGTGCATCGGAGGCTTTGCCTTTTGTCCGTAGTTGAGAACAGTCAACACGAGCACTTGCACCAGGAGCACCAAAAGCCTCTCTGGAGTTCCTTCCCCCGCTGGAGTTAGGAAACATGTTCCCCCATCCACCTTTCCACTTGAACCCCAAAACCTCTTGAGCACCGATCATCCAGCCACCAAGCACCGATTAAGACTCAGGCAGAACTGGGTCAGTGGGCGGCAAGGCTGTCTCCATGGGCTTCCAGGGGCCGTGCAGGCCAGGTTGAAGCCGTCAGCAGATGCTGAAAGCTCCGTAACGAGCCACGGCGGTGGGCAGTGCGCCAGGACAAGCAGCTGAGGCCCCGGCCCAGGGACTGGGAAGGTGTCATAGAGGAGGTCAGAGTCAAGAGCTGACAGGTGGCAGGAAAGCAGCATTGCTAAGCTCTGGACAGGCTCTGGAAGTTTTCCAGTGTCTGCGGACTGATGCATCAGAGCCCAGGGTTTGGGCTAGCCACCAGGGAAAGTAGCACCACCCAAGACCGTCCCTGGTGACCCTCATCTACCTTCTCCCTGCCAGCGAGCAGGACCAGTAGGGAAGGTGGTGGGCAGTGGGGACTCGGGGGTGGAGGGAAGGGTTTGTGCAACTGCCTCTACTTTATTTATGGTTTTGATTATTTCTGCATCCCAGGGAGAGCCAGTGGACCCCTTTTCTTGCATTAGCCCATGTTAGGAAGCATCGGGGAGGGGCTGGGGAGCTGGTGCCTCAAGAGTGGTTATTGATGTCCTAATTACAAGAGGATGCTAATTTAATTTGAACCTAATTACAGTGCACTACCCTGGGTGGCATGTGTTTTAATAATTAACGTCCTTCAGATGCGTAGGAGTATAATATTTACACTGGGTTGGCTAGCAGCCTGGGGAGGTGGGCTGGGGTCCCATCCGCCACCCTCCCCCCGGACAGCTTGGGCTGCTAGCAGGTGGGGAAGAAAGCATATGAGTCTTGGTTGGCTAGTATCTTGTCATCCTTCCCAGGGAATATGCTTGGGCCTCATTTCCAGCCACTTCCTTGACCCAGCAGGCTGCTCTGCTCTGTGGGGCTCCAGGCTGGAGCTCTGAAACACTCCGTGAGTGGCAGGATCAACGCTCTGGATGCCAGCCTTCCTCCCCCAACCCAGGCCCAGCCTCGCAGATGAGAGCCCCATCTCCGGCTTCCCTTGCCTGCCTGGGCCCATCCTGGGGAAGGGCTTGTTTAGGCAGGAAGAAAGAGAGCTGCTTGGTTTTTCTTCCTTCTCTTTGGATTGGGAACACTTGTAAGGAAGTACACATTCAGAAAGGCGCACGAATTACGAGGCTATAGCTCAGGTGTTCACAATGTGAACATACCCGTGTACACACACAAATCAAAAAATAAAACATCACCAGCCCCTCAGGCTTGCTGCTCAGTCACTGTCCCCCTCGAAGGTGACCCCTCCATTGACCTTCATCCTGGTAGATGGGTTCTGTTTTGTTATGTTTTTGTTTTTCAGTTTTGCCTGGTTTTAAGTTTTACGTAGGTGGAGATCTGCAGGATGGATTCTTCCCTGCCTGCCTTCTCCCGCTAAGTATGTCTGTGGGCTGTGTCCTTGGTAGCTTAGTTTTGGTGTATGCCTGTTTTCTGTATGGACTGTTGTCTGAATACACCACTTCTTGGTTATGAAGAAGTCAGAATCTCAATAAGCCGCTAGAGCCAGAGCTCTGCCCAGTCCCTAAAGGAGAAATCTGCTCATTCTAATTATGCAACTGGAGGACAGGAGGTGACACTCGATGAGCTAGGGTAGCAAGATGACAGGGCAGGGTAGTTCCGCCCATTACCAACATGGAGTGGTGTGGTTGCCAGCGTGGCTCCCCTGCCCAGCCTTTCAGAGCTCCCAGAGATAGGGAAAGGGTCTGTCAGCAAGTTCTAGAAGCCAAGCAGACGAACCAGGGGCTTAAGAGATGGTCTGAGGGAACTTCAGTGTCTACCGGAAGCCTCTCTAGGCCTGTTCCTCTCTAAGTGTTGCTGGTAGACCAGCTAGCTAAGAATCACCCGAGGTGCTCGTTAAAATGCAGCTTCCAAAAAGGGCCAGGACCCCCCTGGGAGTGGGGCTGGGGGTGTGACTGAACCATCCATCACAGCAGGAGGACAGTGGGTAATGTTTATGGGATTGGTAAAACAAGAACTGGCCTGTTGTGTAGCAATAATGGTAACCACCAGAAAATCTAGAACAGATGATGAAAAGTGGTTGCCTGTAGGTAACAGCTGAGGGTTCGGAGTGCTTATTAGAACTCCCTGTGTACCAATTTTTTCACCATCAGTGAGCATTTCCAATTTTTTAATTCATTATCAGGCAAATCTGCATGTATCACTTCCCATTCCAGAACCACTCCCTCAATTCCTGTGGTCCAGGGCCTGGGACTCTGCACTCTAAACGAGTTTCCCTGGTGATCCTGATGAGTTCTCAAGTTCAAGAATTAGCTATCACTGTCCAAACTCATTTTATCAGGGAAGGAAGGAGACAAAGTGACTTGCCCAAGGTCATCCAGCTTATTTATGGCAGAGCCAAGAATAGAAAACTGGTCCCTGGCCTATGTTCTCTGCGTCATGGCTCTCACCTTGGTGGGTGTCCGTCTTGGTGGGCCTGGCCCCCCAGGGACCTGAGGGACGAGCTGAGGACTTAGTTCAGTGAAAGGAAGCCAGGGTGCCCTTGCCTGGGTGCAGGGAGGCAACCCGTCCAGCAAGCAGAATACTCACAGCCTTGCCCCCTGCGGAGCCATTGCAGGGCCTGGCACGTACAGAATGCCACGGCACCAGCAGCAACATCCTCAAGTTGTTGTCACACTAGGAAGGAGTCTGCCCTGAGCCCACTGCCGGGCAGTCTGGCACTTAGCATTTACCAAGCGCCTTCCTCCTAGCTCCAGGCACTGTTCTAAGTGCTCAGAGAGAGGAATCAGCCCTCAGGTCCCGGGCCTATAGTCTACTGAGGACAGCAGATATTGGTGATGGGAAAACCCAGTTTAGTGATACAGGTAAAATGTATCCGTAAAAATGTCCACATGCA